TGGAGTTCTCAATGGCGTACTTGGTCTTACCATCCTTACCAGCAATGCCTAACCAGAGACTGTCGACGCTAGGCGCCTCCCAGCTGTGGTAGTACGTCCAATGCATCGAGATAGATGATCACCAGTGAGCCGCTTGACGTCCTTCACTTCAAATGACTCAAGGAAAAGATCATCCAATCTTGCAAACGGCAATCTATTCCCCGTCACAGTGATTGTACGGAGACCTACCGCAGCAAGGCGATGGCGTCTTGAATGTCAAAGCCGAGCATAAAGGCTTTCATGAAATCAGCGCCCTTCTGAAGAGAGTTAACCTCAGCCCCAGGACCACCTGTATAGACACTTGAGTGCTAGGAGCCGACCGCCGCCACTGTACTACGTCTCATCTCGACACAACGTCGTTTGGTGTTCATCCTGACCTGAAGTTTCATATGCTGGACTAGAGGCTCCAACAGCTTCAACCAGCTATTACGAAGCGGGGTCATTCGGTGAGGAGGAACCTTCAGGATTACATAGTTCCAACGTTTCACTGGAGTTTGTGTGAGAGGCGTCTCCGAGAGTCCTCGAGCCTACCGCAATCCTTCGAACCTCTCGCATACCCCGCTCCTCTTCCTCAGCAGTCACAGGCTTGAACGATGGTTTAGAGTATCCCTCCTGAACTATAAGGCTCCCTGCTGCCAGATCGAGGTCTCCTATGCACCGACCTATCGCCTTAGTACCTTCGAGTCAGTCTCCATAGGCTCGTAGTCGATTTCAGCCGCGGCCACCTCTACGGGGTCAAGCACGATATCCATGTCCTTGTCCTCAGGACCTGCTCAGATCATATTTGTCGGTTTTTCTATCAATTTCTGTGCCACACACTAACCGATAGGTCAAACGATGTGGCCCTGTAGTACCAGTGAGAGGAACGGGATCATCCCTTCTAGTCCGAGACCCGCGGACTTTCCGGACCGGTCCGGATGATGGTTGGGCTGCCTTCTTGGCAATGTCGCTCCAGGATGCAGTGGCAGAAGACATAC